TGCTTCAGAATCAGTACACAAAAATCAGTTGTATTTCCATATACTGTGTGCTTAGTCACTCAGTCATGTCCGACGCTTTGCAACTCCATGGACTGTAGCCTGCCAGGCTCCTCTGTCCATGGCAGTTTTCCAGGCAAGAATATTAGAGAGGTTGCCATGCCCTCCTGCAGAGGATCTTCACAACCCAGGGATTGGACCCACGTCTACCACATTTCAGGCAGATTCTTTACTGTCTCTGCCATCAGGGAAGCCCTTACTAGGTTCTAAGTGTATAGAAAGTATTCAGGTAAAGATACATTCCAAGAATTTTTTAGTTTAAAACTCTCTCGTTAAATTGTTCATATGCCTAGGGTTTTGATATTTCATACATCATTTTCCAGTATTTTTATAATTGCTTCCTGCTTTAGCTTTTCCTAAGCCCTGTGTGTTCCATTTATCCAGAAGTATCGACTAAACATATTTTTTAATCCCAGACCCCCTGTCTTCCTGTGCCCCTCTTCATGTTTGAAGGATGCCCCCCCACTACTGTTCTTGTCATGTTTGACCCTTTTCCACATTGGCTGTGGGTGCAGATGTAGGCTAATGACCAAGTGACTGCGATTTTGTTTATTCTTCTCAGGCATTCTCTTCCCCTCCCCTCTTCTTTCTTTGCCTTTCCCCATTCATCCCTGATACCTGTCATTCTATTAAACTCTAGTTAGAGTTGCTAATTCACACTGATGAGCAGAATGAGGCAAAATGATCCTTTTTTTTTCCTTTATCCTGTTACTGTTGATTCAGACCTTTTGTGACTCCCGCTCATTTCCACCTTTCAGTAGTTAAAGGACCCTTTCAAACCAGATACCTTTTACTGTGTATTCTCTATTATGATGATGCACACATATCTTGCCTCCTTCTGGGTACGTACAGAACCTAACATGGTGTAAGGCATTGGTGGTTCATGTTTGTTGATCTGAAATGTTAGTTTAAAATTTTCAGCTAAAATCAGGTTTTGGAACGTCTTAGTCTGCCATGTGGTGATCGTCTCTCATCGCTGGTAGTCATTAGATGCCGGTTTATAGATGCTGTGGGAGATGGTGAGGAGCAACATGCGGTTTCATTCTTTCAGAAGTTTTCAATCTCCTAGACAGAAGTATTTGATTGCATTTTTTAGCTGTCTGTTATTTTATAGCATTAGTATACCAATGGAGTTTTTTGGGGGGTAGTGCGTATGTGTCTAGGGAAAGTTGTATCTAATTTTCAAATGCAAAGTTTATGTATAAATAGTATGGTAGGAGATTCTTCTGGCTTGAATGGAGAAGGCCCTGTATCTATATTAAGACTGAGAGCCCAGACAGGCCTGTCCACTTCCTAGTTATGCCACTTTGGGCATCCTCTCTGTGTGACCTGTGTAAGTGATGTGAAGCTCTTAGGAAAAAACATACCATGTAAATCTTCAATACTACTTTATTTTCACAGGTTAGGTAAATTTTGTTACTTTATTATAGAAATAAGAATTCCTGCTGTCTGTCTGTGTTACAACAGTCTTGGGTTGGAAAAAAATCTGTTCTAGCTAGTATTTAAGAATGTCTAAGATTTTTAAACCGCAAAAGTTCTCAATAATTAAGTTTCTGTGTCCTTGATATACTTTGCTATTATCAGTCTTAGACCACTCCAGGGTTCTTTATTTTCTTCTCCTTTTGGTCAAAGAATAGGAAAATGTGACTTGCTGCTGTGCCTTGCTTTTCACAACTGCTTGCCTTTACTGGCTAGTATTTACTTGAAGAAATGATTCCTGCGTGGGTCATCCCCAGTGAGGAGGGTTCATCTTTCCCTTTGCCTGCATAGGACTGGATAAGGGAGATTTCAGAGGAGCAGCAACAAATCTGTTTGAAATCTGATAGGATGGTTTTTTTTTTTTTTTTAATGGAAATGACACGTATATAAAGGATAGTCTTAACTTAAACCAGAGGTAAGGGAAAGGGTTCATCTTAGTATGTGTAAAATTAAAACAGCAGAGAAAGCATAATTTTCATGGAGTATTAGATTTGGAGAGAAATAATAGTTTATCTAGTCCAACCTCCTACTAGTGAATAAACACTCATTTTGTGTTTATAGAAAAACCTGTTTGAAGTTTGAAACAGGAACTTGGTTTTGAAAATGCTTCATTGCCTAATTATTTTTTGCTTTTTCTAGTGGTAGTTTGTCCCCTGGAGTTAAATTATATCTAAACCTTTATATCTACAAAAGCATAAATATATTTGTATCTATGAGGTGTTTTTTTTTTTATCCTCGCTTTTTGCTTTATTTTTTGATCTCGATATGTAGGACATCTTAACTTAGAAACATAATAAGTAAACAGCAGAGAAAGCCCACAGCCTGAAACAAATCCCTTAGAGGGTAAGTTTCAGTATCTCAGACTCACCCCGCAGTGCGTGTCGGCCTCCAAGCCAATCCTCGGTCCTGGAAAACAGGAGGGCATCTTAGTGACTGCAGCACTAAGTGGGCGTAGACACCAGGAGGTGGCGCCCACACATGTCGCGTGTTTTTGTAATCTGGAAGCTGTTGCCCAAAGCCCTGTGTCCTCTGTGCCCACCGTGATTTCATTGCTGAGAAGCGTGCTCTCAGCATGTTGTGGAGGCAGCTTCCAGGTCGCTCCACACGCTTTAGCATCCTCTCATTTTTCTCTGAGAACTCGGGGCCATGGAGAAGCATGGATTTCAAGTCCCCATCTCCCGGTTTACAGGAAGGGCTTCCCTGTGGGCCCTGCCCCACGTGTGTGTCTGCAACTTGTGGTCACAAACACCAATCGCTGAGAGAGCAGACCCCGCACCAGTGTTATCACTAGGCCGCAGGCAGGCGCGTGGGCCTTCCTGGCCTGCTCTTTTTCTTATTATGGTAAAATATAGAAAGCACAGTGTTTCTATTTCTTCGACTTTACCTTCTGCAATCCCTGGGGGGAATGGCTGTGACTCTCAGAAATGGTTGGCCGTGGCTCATCGCACTATCGATCATGTTTCCACCAACAGAACCTGTATTGTTCCTATGTCTGTTCGTGCTGTTTAGAGATATATTAAGGATTCTTTGTGTCTGACATGGCAAGAACTCAACTCAAACTGGCTTGGGCAAGAGGAGGACATCAGGGGTCTTTGTGATCAGTTGTGGAAGAAGGAGGATGTTTAGGCTTGGGGGTCCCGGCTCTGGGAGTTGTCAGGACTCTGCTGGCTTCTTAGTCTTGACTTCAGGTCTAGCACCCTCGCGCTGCTCCCCAGGACCCCGTGGTCTATACAACACTTGATTTGGCAGAGACAAATCCCTTCTCCAGCCTATCAGTCCCCAAAGTTCTCTGCTTGCATCTGCCCCCTTCTCTGTCCCTTTGTCCAAGAAGGGGGACTCTGTCCAGCCTGAGTCATGCCCACCTCCGAGGCAGGGACAGTGAGGGGAGGAGCTGTATGTTGACAGTGGGAGGGGGACCTCAGTGTTGACAGGGACCTGGGGAGAGGGACCCCAGAGGGATGGGAGCAGGGGAGAGGATCCACTCAAGAGATGGAGACTTTGCAGACAGAAAAGGAAGGTACTGGGACAGTGAAGTCTGGCCTGTGGGAGCCAGCAGGTGTCCGGAGACCCACTCATCCTGCCTGTCCGATGGGCCGTGCTGTTTTCAGAGCCTTGACTTCAGTGTGGACGAGAAGGTGAACCTTTAGGAGCTGACCTGGGCCCTGGAGAAGGAGGTCATGATGGTGGGTGGTGCTGCCCAGCAGGCAGCCTTGGCCTGCTCCCCCCAGGACCTGAGCTTCTGCCAGTAAGAGCCCCGGTGCGGAGGGTCAGGGGCGTGGGGTGCGACTGGCCAGGCTGGCCTCCTCGCCCAGGGTACAGGCAGCCTGCAGGACGAGAAAGGGTGCTTCCAGCATGGTCACAAAGCACTCCATAGCGATTTGGCCAAGAATGCGTTCCGTTTTAATTGGGTTTGGCTCCAGTTGAGCAGGATATTCAGGCCATCCGTCTGCTGAACCGGTTGGCATAGAGATTGTTACTGTGTTTTTATTGATGCTCTGAAGCTACCGAAAAGGTTGGCAGTAATCCCGGTCTCCATCCTCAAGAGTTTGCATCTCGTTAGGTACCAACAGATGAGACCTCTGACATCAGGCAACTCTGCAGAGGGGCCCAGAGGAAGACTGCTTTGGGAGGATGAGGAAGGGAGACAAGCTTGGTGCTTCTCCAGTGGGAGAAACAGGCACCAGGATAGCTGGTGGACTGAGCCTTGGGCAGGGCCTGGGGTGACCGGAAAGAGACAGGCATCGCCTCTGCTCTGGGCAACTCCCTGGCACTTACTCAGGTGCCAGGCTACAGGTGGCAAGGCTGTGACCAGGCAGGATAATGGGTGGCCAGCCTTCTCCCCTTCATGCGTCCAGTCCCAGGTTGGGTGCTGGGGATCCCTGGGTCTGAGGCCCAGCTGCAGGCAAGACAGAGCAAGGATAATTTCCCACCTTTTCTAAGGCCGTCTGGAGAAGTGAAGAGTGCCCGCCCCGGGCTCGAACCTCCTGGTTCAGAAACCTGCTAGAAACCCCAATGCAAGCCAGTTGGCTTCTTGCTGTATGTACTTCTGTAAAACAGACTCAATAACTGCAGAAACCGTCCTGGTAGGCAGAGGGTCAGGCTTCCCAGGTGGCCCTAGTGGTAAAGAACCCACTTGCCAATGCAAGAGGCGTGAGAAATGCAAGTTCGATCCCTGTGTCAGGAAGATCCTCTGGAGGAGGGCATGACAGCCCACTCCAGTATTCCTGCCTGGAGAATCCAATGGACAGCGGAGCCTGGAGGTCTACAGTCCATAGATTTGCGTAGAATCGGACACGACTGCAGCGACTTGGCTCGCATGCACAGGAGGTAGCTGAGAGCCCAGCGCCAGCCACTGCTCAGCACTCTTAGGCCAGCTGAGTTTGTTCCTTCAGACGAGCTCACTAGGCCCAGAGCAGTGTCCCCAGTGATCCCTCCCTCTTTCCTGCAGGGAGCAGGAGGAGCAGATGGCCAGGGAGCAAGATAAGGCGAGACAAGACCTGGAGAATGCTGAGCAGAGGAACCTGAAGTTTGTGAAAGAGACGGACGACCTCCACTCCGCCCTGGAGCAGCTCGCGGAGGAGAAGGTCAGGTAGGTGTTGCCGGGGTCGTGGCCCAGGGCGCATGGTGGACACAGGCTGCTGCCAGCTGAGGCCCTGCTGTCTCTCCCGAGCCCACAGCAGGAAGCCCACAGACCAGGCGTCACCCATGCAGTGGGCTGAGTGGGCTCCCGCAGAGTCAGCCCGGCTGGTGGCGGGCAGCCTGATTGCACACGCCCTTCCTCTGCGGCCAGGGCTGCCCTCCCAACGTGCCCCAGGACAACGGTGACTGATTTCAGGCCATCAGTCGGGGAGCTGAGAATGGATTTGCGTTGGTCTCAGCCTGGTTGACCTGATTTTCCCGACCACCCTGAAGGGACTCGGTGAAGTTCTTTCTGCATCGGAGAATTGGAGACTCGTTATCTCCATCCAAGGATCTGGTTGGGGGACACAAGTCCTCGAGGGCCATGTAGGTGTTTGGGTTTTGCTCCATGAGTAACACAGTATCAGCGGTACACTTTTAGAAATAGCGTTTGCCGTTGTATTAGGTTACTTTAACAGAAAAGTATTAAGGGATACATGTTCATTGTAGAAAACTTAGAACATACACACACAAGGAAAAATAAAAACAAACATTTCACATCCACAGATGTTATCACTCCTAACATTTTTCCTGAGTCCTTCGCTTCTTCCTGTCCATGTGGTTGCTTTCAGAGAGGTCTCGTTGCTGTGATGTTGCATATATTTTCTGAGCACCTGTCATGTGGCTCTGGCATATGTTACTGCACCTTTCCGCTTTGAAGAGGGAAGTGATATGATCAAGTGTGTAAAACTCGCCCCAAGATCTGCAGGCTGTTAGGTTAATCTCGCTCATGAAACTTTTTCCCTGAGTGACAGCTGCCCTTGCTCCCCAAAGCTCTGCGGTGAGTCTGAGGGAGGCCGCGCCAATCATTTCTGGTTTGGACCACAATCAATTGATTGTGGACCCAGCTAGGCTCTGCCGAAATAAGTTTCCACTCATCTTCAGTCTAGATATACTGGGTTGGAGAATCCTGTTAAGCAACTGTTTCAGTGATGTTGTTGTTCAGTCAGTCATGTCCGAATCTTTGTGTCCCCATGGACTTCAGCCTGCCAAGCTCCTCTGTCCGTGGGATTCTCCAGGGAAAATTACTGGAGTGGGTTGCCATTCCCCTCTCCAGGGGATGTTCCCAACCCAGGGACCAAATCCACGTATCCTGTGTCTCCTGCATTGCAGGCGGATTCCCTACCGTCTGAACTACCAGGAAATGGAATGTGGGCATGAGATAAACAGATTCTTTAGAAATCATGGGCTTTGCTGGACATGCTCTTAGCTTGTGGGGTGGCCTACCAGGTAGAGATGCAGTTTTCTGTGTCTGGTGGTGACCCTGCAGGTCTGGGCAGTCAGCCTACAACCGCTGTGCCTTTTCCCCGGCAGCTGTATGGAGCCACCCAGAGGCTGTGGCTGGCCCGGTCCCAGCACGCCCAGCATGTGCGGCAGCTGCAGGAGGAGATGGCACAGCGCATGCCCACAGGCCGCGTGGTCGAGCTGCAGCAGCTGCTGGAAGGGGAGCAGCGGGCGGCTTGGCGGCTCCAGGAGGAGGCGCAGGTGAGTGGGGACAGGGCTGGGGGGGCCAGCTGGGGGTGACAGGGAGGGTGCGCTAGGATCTCAGGTGCCAAGGGGAGGACAGCTCGACAGCCCTCCCGCCATGTGGGATGTTTGTGGAAGCCCCGGGACCCGACTTCCGCTGGGAACTGGTGGGTGCTGAGTGGCTGACCCTAACGTCCCCTCAGCCTGTTTTCTGGGCTGTGTGTGTCTGCAGCCAGCCACACACGTGACCTGCTTCCAGGTCTGAAAGGTGGTGATAGAAGGGCCTCAGGAGAGGGATGGGCAGGGATAGCTCTTCAGTAGCACAGCTCTTCTCTATCATATAGTTTGTCAGTTTCCTCTCTCATGCCAGGATAACAAAACCTGTCATTACATCCAACATGTCTCTGATTTGTAAGGTTCCCCAAACTAGTCTGAACGCGTGTGGAGGAATAGGAAGGGAGAGCTGGTGGCGTGGTGTGGCTGCGTGAGACGTGCAGTACACTGTGGCTCTCTCCCCTCTCCAGTTTGAAAAGAGCACACGATCAGATCTGCTGCTCAAGGAGCTCTATGTGGAAATGCCCACCTGACAAAAGCGCTTCAAGTCAGTGAGGAGAAGCAACGACGCACCGAGAAAAAGTCCCGATTCTTGGAAGGAAAAATAGAGCTGTCAACAAACTACTCAGCAAGATTGCTACAGCATCCCTTGCTGTGTGGACTGCTTTTCTTCCTGGAGTTCATTTTTTTTTTTTTCTGGAGTTCATTTTGAAAGAACGTCTTTTAAAGTAAACCAGTGTGACACCGTAACTTACTGTGGCTCGTTGGCAGTACACCCCTGGCTACATGAGGATTGTCTTTCTGTTTACCCCACAAGCATTTAATGAAGGTCAGGTTGGAAAAGACTATTTTTTTTAGTCCTCCTTGGGTAACTTCCAGAGTTTCCAGGTAACTCTGAATTTTCTTTCAGGAAGTCTGAGAATTATTTCTCCTTCTGGATACTTACATCTCTTTCTGCTTTTAAATGATTCCGTTCATTAATGATTAATTCCTTGTTTCTTTCTTCTAGCATCAGACCTTGTTTCTCACTTTCGGCATGGAGTTTCCTCACGATCTGCTGAAATTGGTCTTGGATGCCAATGACTGTCTTCTCTTTACTGTCGGCTTTGTTTTGTTCATCATCCAGTTGCTGTCGGAGCAACATGTTTTCACTCCGGAGTTGAGATAATCTCTCCTCTAAGGATTCCTGCTTTCCAAGGTATTCATTCACTTTGCCTTGTTCATTCTGATACATGTGTTCAGTTTCCTGCTTTTGACACTCTGCTTGGTGAAGGTCTCTCTGGACACGTTCTAATGCCAAAAAGTCTTTTCTCTTAAGATCATCTCTTGTGTGCTGCAGTTTGATTTTTAGCTTATTGAATTTACCCTCCACTGTAGAAAGTTGCTGGGAAAGTGCCTTGCTGTTATCTTTTAGGTTCGCCACATCAGACTCCATTTGGTCCTGCAAGCATAACCACTCGTCTTTTGCTCTCTGGAAGGCAAGTTCCAGGTCTCTTGGTGATGTCTGACCTCGATCAGGATCGTGTGAGGCAGCAGCCAGTTTAGAACAGTAGGATTTCACTTCTGTTTCCAGTCTTTGTTTGCTTGCTTTTTTGTTCTCCAGCTTAGACTAGCATCATATTCTCAGCTGCCAGAACATCAGGCTGGCCTGTATCCTGGGATATAGTCTTTGTTAACATTTCCTCAGTCAGTTTTACCGCCTTTTGAGCATCATCACTCTTTGCTTTGACAATTTCAATGTCCTCAAAATAGTTCTGTTCCTTTTCCAGGTTCTGACTTTTCACTGCATCTATTTCCAGTCTTAGGCTGGCAATTTCTTCCTGCAGAATGTGGTTTTTGTACAACAGGTCTTTTGCTTTTTCATGACCAGCAGAAGCCTGATTCCAGTTGTTTCTCAGTCTTCAGTTCCATTTCGAGTGCTCGGAGACTGAATTCTAATTGCTGTTTCATTTCAATTTCTTTACTATGTTTGTCTTCTATTCTTCTTAACTGCTCCCTAATTTTTTCATATGACATATTAGCATTCCTTCTCTTCTCTTCTTCTTGCTTTAAGGCGAATCTCAAGCTGCTGAGCTCTCGTTCCCACTCTACTTTCTGATGCTCTAACTGTGATTTTACTTCTTTGGTTTCTGACAGCTCGTTTTGTAGCCCATGAACCTTACTTTTCATTTTGTAAATTTTTCCTCTAAGTAGTTCACAATGACTTCTTTGAAAATCTACTAATCTTTCATAGGAAAAAAATGCATCCCGAATTTTCAACAAGCTACCAAAATCTTTACACCCCACGTCGAGAGGTTCTACTTGCAACGTGGACATCGTAGAGTAAAGCATGTTGCCATCCTCAGAAACAGTCTCAGAAGACTGAGTTAAGTCATCCAGGTCGTTCACGTAATTAATTTGTTCTTTGACCTGTCATCACTCTGAGCCACTTCCCTCAAAATGCTGTCATCATTCACGTGCAGCAGACCACCGGTCAGCGAATCGGTCTTTTCAAATATTGGTGCAATCACACATCCTCCTGGTGTCCATTTGCCATTGTTCTTTTTCTTTACGTCCTTCCTGTGCACACCAGGATCGCTGATGGAGTTCATCACCACTAGTCCCATCTCATAAGAAACGCTGAAAGAAGTCCTCAAACTATAAGAAACTTCATTCTGCATAGCAGGAAACTCCTGATTGCTGTTTCCTCCACTCCTTCTCTGCTGAATCAGTCCACTCTCATCGGCAGCATCGCATACATTGTCTGATACTTCCACTTCACTACTTTTGTGCTGCTTTTCTTCTTCAACCTGTGAATGGTTATTTTCATCTTCATCAAGTTTATCTTGTTCTTCCTCTGTTATCATTTCCAAGTCTAGTTCTCTTGACAGATCTTGGTCAAGTAAGTCTCCACGCTGTCATTTGAACGGTGTGGAATTGAGGTAGAAAATCCTACGTTTGCTCTTGAAATAAGATTTGCATTGAGTCCTGAAGTAGGATTGAAATTTCCAACTGAAGAGGGCTCCGGGACTGGCGTGCTGCTAGGAGTGCTGAGTAAAGATCTGTTCTGCTGCTTCTCCACCTCAAGTTTGGTGCTCATCTCTGCCAGCCTTTCATTAGCCCCCAGTGCGCCGGGCGCGCTCTCGGCTCTCACAACCGCCGACGCCGGCACGCGCTCCCCGGCCGCATGCCCCCCGCGCAGGCGCACGCCCGGCTCGCCGCCCTCTATGAGGTTTTTATACCATTGAATGGATCCTAAGTAGAAAGGGAAGGTTTTTACTTTGGTCAGAAGTCATTCAGGTGAATAGTTGTAATTTTTAAATCACTGTTTAATTAATGTGCATAATAGCTTTAAAGTAGATAAAATTTTGCATCTCTTTGCCCAATACTACCCTGCAGTTTCCATCAGGCTAGTGCTTGTTTCACTTGCTCTGATCACTTTCTGCCACAAATATATGAATATGTGAGTGTGTTTGAGTGTCATGCCCAAATGCTTTTATAGTTATAGTTAAATCTGTTTTTTGGTGTTTTCTTGTGAATTTTTATTCTTAGCTGTTAAAAATTAAGAGGGTAATATTTACCCAACAGTTTGATTTTATAAGGAACCAAAGGAATGATCTTTGTTGTCTTGAAAAAAGTAGCAATTTTAAAAGGATATTCACTAAATATTGTGAAATCATCATTCTACCCAGGGAGATAGGTTTGAAACTAGACTTTTGCTCCGACTTGCAGATGAAAATGAGAAATTTATGACTGATTTACCTAGAGTTCAGCTGTGTAAAGTGTGTCCATTTTATCTTCATTACTGGTATCATACCACATTCATACAAACTCACCAACAGCATTTCTGTTGTTATACATATCTGTTACTTTCAGATGCATTGATTTCAGCAGATAACCACCAAGAGATATTTTGTATAATGTTATTTTTCCACAATGTGTATTGTTAGCTCAGCCATTTTTTATGGGTGGAGGCTTGATCATCATGATGTAGTCAGAAAGATGTGATCAGCATTGGAAAAAGAAAACATAAGATACGATGCAGGAAAAATAACTGCATAACTGGCTGAGTGTATTTAATACATTAGAAAAGAGGGTGCTAAAATAGATACTTCTTACTCAATCAGTCCTGTTTCAGAGATCTGAAAACTGTCAACGCTTTGTCAATTGATGTGGATGTCCAGGTCAGTCCTGTTTGGGCTCTTGGAGACGAGAGGAGTTTGAAATTCAGGAATAGTCTTGTCAAAATTCTCCATCTTGATTTGATATTCCCCGTTGGAGCCTCGGGTCAACAGAGATGCAAAACAGTGATGTAACATGATCTCGGCGGGCAGGTAGGATGTCCTCCTCTGGCACGTTTCTCCAGTGCCTTCCTGCGTTGCTGAAAGGAACACGACTAATTCAAAGTGGGGAGGATTTTCATGCTGGAGCAGAGTAGCCAGAGGACTTGATGGTGTAATAGAGTGGTAGTAGGTGAGTGGAAAGATAAAGAATGGACACTCCTCAGAACTGATGCCGTCAAGGTGGAAGTCCACACTGGTCTGGTAGAGTTTGCCATTTTCTCGTTCCTGATAGAGTACAGCTGAGACCCGAACATTGGTTAGAGGGCTAGGTCGGGTGTTGGCCACTTGGAAAATGAGATTAGGTTTGCCATCTATGTGAGCTACTACTGCTAAGTCAGTAAAGCGAATTGAGAAAGCTCGATTTTTTGGCCGGGCAATCTTCGCCACAAAGGCACCTAAATTAGAAACCATTGAGTTTTTTTTTTAGAACGAACACTAGAAATGTCATTACCTTTTCTGAATGACAAGGATCTAGCAAATTGTTATACATTTCTTAGTGTCGTGCCTGCCAAATATTTCAGAAATTCAACTTACTGATTTCTCATTAGCCTGAAGCGTTTTTCAAAACAGTACATATATTCTTACTTTAAAACTGATTTCAAAATGGATAAGGAAAATTCATTTGTCACATGAAAATGTAAAACTTTTTAAGTTTGTTAGGAAGTCAGAATGGTCATTGCCTATATTCCTACCCCTGCTTTAAAAAGAAGGGCAACAGAAAGTAAATGCAATTTCGTTGCCACCAGATTACTTCAAGTTGAAATAGAGATTAGATTCATAGTAGAATGATTTGGGGTAGGGAAGGGACCAGTAGAACAAGTGGCCCATTGAAGAATTTTTAACTTTGAAATTTATACAAAGCCTTTTTTCTTTTAAAAAGGCTCTGGCTCTCAGGTGATTTGAGTGTATGCTTCAAGTGCATCCTTCGCCTAGCCACCTCTTCTCTCCCCCCACCCCTCCCCCACCTCTAGATCAGGGTTTCTTAACTACTACTGTGCCTCAGATGTTGGCAGGCTGGTGAGGTCTATGGACCTCTTATCAAAATTATGCTTTAAATGCATTAAAGTAAAATACATAAAAAGGAAACCAAATACATATATATATGTGTGTGTGTGCATGTGTTTTTTCTTTTTTTCTTGCTAAGGATGTGTATTCTTATTCTTTATCATGCAGTACTGACTGTGGTACTCTGGGCTCACTAGTATTGAGTAAAAATGTTGAAAAGATGAATTCAGGAGAAAATCCTAGCCCAGTAAAGGTTAACAACAAAAAAAATCAAATTCCTCTGTTAGGTAAAATGACTGTCATAATATGCATTGAACACATTTATTCACTTAAGAAAATATTTAGTACCTTTGAAAAATTCCTTTTAGATTTTTTTGTTCATATGTTTTTGGCTACTGTCGTAATGATCCCTTTTTTCTTAAGTTGGGTAAAATTTAAATAGAGTCAAATTTTAAAAAATTTCTACAACTGTTTGACCCAAGACTCTTTTCTAGTCTCAGGCATTGCTTGTCAATAATGCAAATAAATTATTCTGGAATATGATTGCTTTTAACTGACTATACCCATTCAAAAACATTCCTATGCTTTTTTAAAGAACAAAAACAATTACCTGTGATAAAAGCCTCTAGCATGAGGCCTAGGAGCATTTGTATGGCAAGCAGGGCGATTGCACTTGGACAGTCACCGCTGGGGAACATGGTGCCGTAACCAATGGTGAGCTGTGTCTCCAGGGAGAAGGAGAATGCCGCTGCGAAACTGGTGATGTACTTGACACAGATAGTGTGGTTTTCGGGTGGGGCGTCATGATCTAGTCCCAGGTCACCATTCATCTCAGCCAGAACATACCAGTGCACTGCAAAGACAAGCCAGTGGATAACAAAAGAGGCGGAGAAGACCAGCATCATCCAGCGCCAGCACATGTCCATTAGGGTTCCCCAGGCGTCTCGAAGATACGCAAGACCTGTTTGCACATACGCAAGACCTGTTTGCACGCCATCCATTTGAAGCGTGCTGTGACCATCCTTGGTAACCATCCTCCGGCGTCTCTGAGTCAGGAGAGGAGCAGTAACTTTGCAGTGACTGCCATCCATCTCAGGCTGTAATGCTCTGAAATCGAAAGTGTATTAGTAAACCTTTAACTGTTTCATAGTTAATATTAGTAAATCCTGGTTTTGTAATTTTTTTTTTTGTAATGCTTCCCTGACTGCTGGGCAGGCTTTCCCAGTCTGATAGCTCTTTCTGTTTTCTCTTTTTGCATAAGGGAGCATTCACTGACTTAGTCATTCATTTGATAGCTCATCATGGATTGCCTTGAGATACCTCGTACTGGTTCCTTTAAGAGCTGTTGAAATCCTGTTTGGCATCTTAAAAAACTTCTGAGGGCTGGGGTTACCATTCATGTCTTTTTTGACACTTTGTCTTTTTCTTGCACAAGTCCAGGCTTCAAGTGTGTTTATTTGATGCAACATTATGTGTAAATAACTTTTTTTAATTAATTAAGAACTTATAACTGAATAATGAAAAGGAATATTAAATATGTGTTCTTTTGTTTAAATAAATAGAAATCATTTAGAAGTGTAGCATTTCACTGAAAATGTTTGGAAGCCAAGCTCAGCGATAGGATAAGATTAAGCTTTTAGAGATTTGTAGTTCTACTGTATGCTTTATAATTAGCCTGTTGAAATTTCATAATTAGATTTTATTTGTTTTTGTTACTTTGTGGCCATTTTCATGGAGTCTTTCCTTCTATGGCTGGTGGATTGCCAGCCTTTTGAATATTCTTGGTTCTGACTACATAGTAGAGTAGAGAGATAAGAAATTTGAGGTAGAGATACCAAGGTAATATTAATTTCAAAAGTAAATGATCCAGAAGAAAAAGCTTCAAGTTAAATGAACTAAAATAATCATTAAGACATCAAATAGCAATTTTTAAAGCATTAATAAAACTAGTTTTTAACTGTAGTCATTTTTCATCTGTGTTGATGTTTTCTCTGTGTGGTGAACAGAAGTCTAACGTGTGCTTTCCATGTGACCATCCTTGCATACGACAAAGGTGCAGAGGACTTAGGCAGAGGCAGCCAGGAACAGACCGGGAAATGCGACTTTGCTTGCCTTGAGTGCTCCTTTCTTCTCTGCCTCGGTCCAGTATTGGGGTTTGTGTGTGACTCTTATTTTTTTAGACTTCTTCCTTTAGAAGTAGATGCCCTTGGAAGTGTTGCGTGTCACCTTCCTCCTTTTTGAATGACAGCGATGCTTAAGAAGGTAACTGGAGGCGTGTGGAGCTAGGCTATTGCTTGAGTTTGTTGGACCCACCTCTGTTTAGGAACTTTGGGGTTTTGGAGGCTGCCTTCCCATGTTGGAATTGGACCTTAGTAGCCGAGTACTTTCCCTTTTGTCCTTAGGCTGATTTAGCATTTATTGTTGATACTAGAGACATTCTCTTCTATTTTCTTTAGGCTTGAGTTGCTGATGGAACACTGGGATGACTGTTAAATTTATTTAGATTACATGGTCATTTCAGTTTCATATTATAACTTTTAAAAAATCTTAGGACCTTAATGTTTTATAATTTATTATCCTAACCAGTTGTAATTATCATTTTATTTAGTGTTTATTTTTTTTCTTGGCACAGCTATTTAATGACTCATTTTATCAGATTTTTTGATGTTTTAGAAGACCTGATATCTGCTGTTTTGTAAATTATAATAATAATAAAATACTGATAAGCATTTTGCTAGGTGCTTTCTTATTGCATTGTCTCTAATTCTTTGGAATCTCAGCAACATAGACATTCCTATTCCATTTTTCAGATGAGATCACGGAGGATCCTAATTTTCACAGGGCATTTGGATTATTTTCCAAATCTGGCTAACTTTACAGTTGGGTTTTTGTTTTTTTTTTTAAACTATAAGAAGCTGTCTCATTTAGAGAGTTTGGTAAGATAAGTCTTCTCAAGATAATTGATACTGCATTCACAAGATCGTCTTTGACAGCCTAATTTTTAGCATCTTTAATAGATGCTCTTTCTGTCCCCATAAATGTCTCAAGTATCCATTTTAAATCATTGATCATTTTATTCATAATTTTTATGGCAATATTAATTATATTAGCTAATATAGATTATTTATTATTTGACAGGGATCATACCAAACATGTAACATGTGAAGCCAATAGCAGTGCCAGACACAGAGTAACCTCATGGGCTATTTGTTGCTTTATTGGTATTAATAATGCTTCTTATGTGCACATGAGTGCTCTGTCGTGTCTGACTCTTTGCAGTCCCATGGACTGCAGCCCACCAGGCTCCTTCGTCCATGGGATTTTCCAGGCGAGAGTACTGGAGTGGGGTGCCATTGCCCTCTCCACAGCATAGGATGGTCAGAACCAAATAGAGAGCCTCAGGGAGGTTAGGAGAGAGTCCAGGATCGCGCAGTCCCACTGTGGGTGGAGTCGGGATTTCTACCAAGATCCTGCTCCCTTAACGATTCGGAGCGGCCCTTCTCGGAGCTCATCTCGGGAGGCGGACAGGACGCACTTGGCTAAGCCGAGCGGGCGGCAGATAGGAACAAGGACCGGGACAGGAACAGAGACCCGATCTCACGCCGCCCAGCCGCCAAACCTGAACTCCTCCACACAGGAGGAAGGCGTCCCGGGATATCCGTCCCCTACACGGGCAACGCGCCAACGTTCCGCTGTGCGCTGAGCAGCCGGAAGTAGTCGGACCCAAGGAGGAGGGACCTGGCAGAGCGAAGCCATTCGGTGAGACAATGACGATGTTAGCAGACAGAGGGTGAACAAGCTCGAGGCGTTGAGAGGCGCATGGCCGCCCCCCGGGGCCCCTTCCCCGAAACTGTTCTCTGCGTCCACCCCCGCCCGGACTGCAGGCGGCGCAAACTGCGGCACAGGCCACGCTGTCTGACTCGGGCAGTGGGCTGGGCAGCCAGCGGGGATGAGGGGGTCTCGGGGACCCCAGGGTCGTACGGACCCAGGGCGAAGTGCGGTGTCCGGGGGTCAGGAGGTCGCCGTGCGGCCCGGAAGGAGGTTTTCGGACGCCCTGCCCGGGTGCGGGTTACCTGCGGCGTGGAGTGCAGAGACCTCGGCGGTTTGGGTGTTGCCGCAGCCTGGCCTCCCTGCTACTGAATCCAGTTTTTCTTACACACCCCTCTGGCCTAGGCGGGTCACCTCTCCTCTGAGTCTCAGTTTTCTCATTTGCAAAGCAGGGACCGTAACAGAGCCCATGTCATAGAGTTGCGAGGATGCAGTGAGGTAATGTGACTGCCGCGTTTAGCGCAGCGGCTGCTCTGTTATGGAATTGTCATCATCTTCCTGAGTGTTCCTTTCCTTTCCCCGTCTTCGAACACTCTCTCCCAGATTTCAGTTTCTTGCCCAACGGGTGTTTGAGTTCTAGTTCTAGCACAAAACAGTTTTTCCGGTGCAGAGCGTAATATTTTTGCACATTTCCCTCTAGCAATTGTGTCTGGAGGTAGATTTTGTTCTTGGCTCTCTTCTAGTACTCTAGCAGTAAATCTGTCTTCTTTTCCGAAGACCTAGATTTCCAGCCTCAGACCCCCCAGTTACCAGGTATTTGACAGCAGTTATTTACCCAGTCTCTGCACCTCTGGTAACCCAAACCGTGTTAGTGATGAGTGTCCTGCTGCTGCACGGGGTGTGCTAAGGATCAGATCACATTCACCAACGCTTAAAGGTACTTTGTAAATTGTTAAATAGTGAGATATACATGTGAAATGAAATTACTTTTAGTTTAGTGTTTGACCCACTGTTGCTGAGGGGAACTTGGAGTTTTTCCAGGGCAGTGAGTGCTGGTGTGCAAATTCAGAGGTCCTGGATTCCAGCACTCTTGGCAGCTCCTCGGGAATGTTTCCTGGTTGCTGAGAGGGCTCTGCTACTTGACAAACGTCTTGGGGAGTTTGCTTCTGTAGCCCACTGTGTAGCTGAGCTCACCCCTATGCTGACTGCCACCGCCCCGACCCCGACCATCAGGAGCTTCCCTGGGTGCTCACTGCTAGGGAATCCACCTGCCAGTGCAGGAGATGCATGTTTGATCCCTGGGTCAGGGAGATCCCCCCGGAGGAGGAACTGGCAACCCACTCCAGTATTCTTGCCTGGTAAATCCCATGGACAGAGGAGCCTAGCAGGCTATAGTCCATGGGGTTGCAAAAGAGTCAGACACAACTGATCGACTGAACAACAAAAACCCCATCCTAAGCCCTGCAACTCTTAGCTCCAGATTGAAGTCCTGCCTCAGTGGAGCTTTCTGCCAACCCTGTACTCCTTTCTCCACCAAACCGAAGAAATCAAAATTTCATTTTAAGATACTTCATGGGTCATCTGGCTCAGTCCTACCCAAATCATTTCTTATTTCTTGGTCTGCAGTAAGCTAATTTGAGAATGGCAGTAATAGCTTCCATAGGCACTTTGCTGCTTTTCACATATTAACTGCTTCGAACAACCCTGTAAGGGGGATCTTGTTACTTTGTTTTACAAATAAGGAAAAAGACTCTCTGAGATGAAATAAATTGCCCACAACAGGAAGGGCCACATATGGTGAGATTCTTACCCAGGTTGTTTAATGATGGTTCAAGCACATCTTGACAAAAATTAACCTGGATTCTTTTTTTTTTTTTTTTTTTTTTTTTTGCTGTGCCCTGTGGCTCGTGGGATCTTAGTTCCCTGACCAAAGTTTGAACTCAAGCCCCCTACATTGAAAGTGTGAGATCTTAACCATTGGACCATCTGGGAAGTCCCTAACCTGGGTCATTTTTAATTAGTTCCAATTATTCATTATACTGAGCCAGATTTTTAAAAATACCTGTCTTCTAGCTCTTCACAAGAAAAAAACTCTCAGTAGAAATTAGCAACTGAAGAAGGCACTCCAGCCCTTAGGTTGTTTTTTTTTTTTTAGTGCAAAAATGTGCAGTTTTTAGACCACTGGTTTCTTGTTTGGTCTCTATACTCTTCACCACTTGGCTCCTAAGATCATGTGGACATGTTTCAGTTTGCCAGAGTCCTCCAAGTGACTTGTCTAATCTCATGGGCTCAGATTATAGAGAAGTCTAGTCTCCTTTCCTGT